AACGCGTTTTCTAACTGCCTCGTTAAGGATTCGCCGACACAAACCCACATGAGCTATGGTTCCGAGACAACGATTGTCGAACACCTGAAGACGTCTCAGGTCCGCTACTCGAATAGGCCAAGTCCCGCATCCATACAACAAAACAGCTCGTATTGTAGCTCGATACACACGTCCCTTCAGATTCAGGGATAAACAATTCTGACTCCATGTCGGACAGTCCTCAACCAATTGCAACTTTTTTCAAACCAAATTTTGATGTATTTTATCCAATTATTTCGAACAGAATTCTTGGGACAATGAAATTTGGAAAGCGGATGACCAAACCCATTGTCACGTAGAACGCAGTTATCTGGGTGTGAACCTGGAGGCAGCCAGGTCAACTTATCGTAAACCATGTGCCCAAAGGGCCAACAGATGATCGAAGTTGCCAAATAGAAGGAAAACGATAAACTCTTTATTCGGCGTGGTTGAGACACGTCTTTGGGATGTGAATCTGATCAGAATCCTAAGTTCGGCCCATTCCTGAAGTAGAGTCGTACGGAAGATGCGAATACCCTGCCATTCCACTTGCAGATTACTGACTTTTTGACCCGTTCCAAGTTCACCCTTGTTGTTACGGAAGAATAGCTATACTTCGATGGGGTAGAATACGTCATTCGCTCTCTCACAATGTTGAAATTCCACCGGGGACGGAGGGGTTTCTTGTGAATGCAGGCACTTATCAGGATGTATTTACTTGTTTAACTGTTTCCCCTTTGTATGAATCACATCGTATTGCGTCACGTGACCACCAAAGAATTCCAAGCAGTAGAAGTATAATTTATTATTTTTTTTGAGTCACGTCAGTGGACTACTGGTCACTAAAGAGCACATCATTCGGTGTGAAGCTTCACGCAATTCGTTTCGCCACTAAGCTGATTCTTTGCTGAACATTCAAGAGAGTTTTCTCATCTTGGTGTATTTTGGGTGTGATGCATACTGTTGCGGTTGGTGTTTGAATTGCTTAGTAACCCCTAATCGGAGGCTTCTATGTAGATCTGAGGCGCTCGTCGGTTCGGTTGACACCGCAAGTCCTCGTCGAGAAGTTTTCTCCAGACTCCACGCTCCTCACTCCGGATATATTTAGTTGGATCAGTGAGAAAGTTTAGGCCTAATTTTGGTCTCGCCGCTGCGCTTATGCAGGTGCTCAGTTCTGAGTCATACTTTGGTTTCATCACAGGCTAATTTTAACTTCGAAGCTGCCCGGTACTGTACAAGACACGAGTTGTAGACCTTCAGTTTTCAGCCATAACAAGTGCTGGTTTCCACGGCAATACTTTAGTTTACAGTACCGGTTTGCTTATCTTAGAAGCACACCTGTAGTTTTGATTGCTTTCGACTGCGTTTTGTGGTGAACCAAACTTATGGAAATGAAATATTGAAAGGCCGGTTGTTGGTTACAAATACGTAAAGTAAGGACTGAAAGTCCAGGTAAAAAGCGCTGAATGGTGCACAACAAATGAGATCAGATGTTCACCAATCAATGATTTTGCCAAACCAGTTAGTCCGAGGATTTGTGAGCCCAACACAGAAGGTCGAAAGATCTACAATTTTTATCTCACCTGGTGCATCCGACCCCAACTGCTAGGCATGGTAGAGTAGGTAGTTACTTGATGAGGTTAAGTAACAAACTAGTGAACGTCCAGTTTAGTTGTATGGAAGGGGGGTGGGGGCGGTTGCTCACAGGTCTTGGGTTCGATGGTGTCAAGACAAGGAGAGAAATTCAAACACGTGCAGTGATACTCTTCAGAGAATAAAGGGTACTTCATATTCGCATAAAGGAAACTACTCACCAGGTTGCTGAAAACTCTTCGACAGCCGATGATTGGTTTCGCTCTTTCTCTGGATTATCAGGTAGGTGCAGTTCCCGAGGTTCCGTCCCACTGTTATTTTACTTGATTTCTACTTGATTTCGACAAGTACACTCATTTGCAAATCAATCTGGTTTTCTTAGGTGACTCAACTGAAACTCTCGTTTAGGATATCCTTCAACTGAACGCGCTGCATAATGTCTGCCTCATGCTTCATTTGGCACGATATTCGAGATACCGCAGTATATTTTCTTGACGAAACACCTTGCACAATTGGCGCTAAAATTCTCCTTGAGTGATTCGGACAGGGGGAGTAGTTTGTTTATGGATTATCTTACTTGCAGATTAGCGGTTGATCAGTGGGACGTTGATATGACCACCGAGCTTGACAACTAGCTTGTGAACGTTTCGTTCCGAGACATCGTTAATGAGCAGCTGAAAGGGTATTTCGTCTTTATCTACTCGCGGTTATGTAGTTTTCAAACAGCATTCAATTTTCTGTTATGTGATTGGTTGATTGGTGTGTACCTCTCTCGTAATTTTACTGGCCGGACAGACTGCGCGATAGTGTTGCTAGCTTGGTTATTTCGTTGCACGATAGATACAGTTTAAAAAGTTTTTACGTCACAGCGAGAACAATCACTACAGAGGAACAGACGATACCCAGTGTGCTGTTATGCATCCTAACTCAGAATGAAATCTGCATGTAGTTTGAACTGTAAATGGAAACCGGAAAAACTACACATGAGTATTGATTGGTGATTACGGAGAGGCGCAACAGCATTCTTCAACTCTCATAAGATGTCGTGGCAGGATATTTTAAAAACGGTTACAATGGAAGAATGGGCACGGTCAGCCAAACTGTTAACCCTGGGAAGACCATTTTTTCATTTATAACCTTTTGGACCGTTTTTGGAGAGAGATCATTGTGCGATTCAACTTTTCCATTCTCAGCTTTTCAACGTAGGTCGATTCCACTCCTCGAGATCCCCTGCTCACCCGTAAACGTTGAGCAGTATCCGTAAGCCATGAACTGGACTTGCTGACCGATCGTACTGTTTTATATCCAGCGGTGAGTTAGTTACACTACTGGTCAGCTGAATTGCCTACAGTTCAGCTGCAAGCCGGAGGGTCAAGTGCTCGAACCTGCCATGAGATTAGCGAGATGCACACTACTAATGATCCCGCAAAAAGATGAGAAAACTGTATGTTACCTTTTGACATTTCAGTATACATCAAATTCACTCACTTCGGCTGGGGTTCTGTGACCGATCAATATCCCTACGTGTTAACACAGACGGCACGACGTGCCAGCAGCGATGTCACGTGCTCAGAGGGCTGACTTGTAAGTAGACTGCATCGTTACTCATCACTGCTAGCTATCGTCCCGTCCGTCAGCACGTGATGACCGTATTAGCTGTCCGCCGTCCTAAATTCGCTCGTGCTTACCATTAAATAGCTTTCCCATTGGTACAGAACGCGAGTCGCGGTGCAAATTTACGGTGGAAAAGCCCACCGAATGTATAGACTCGCAGCATATGAGGAACGCTCTGCATTCGACAATGGAGACTATTCGAAACCCGTGAGTTTAATTGGTTGTCGAATGTTATGGGGAATCATTCTGGACTTCGCTCGGAGCATTTACGTCACGCTGTGATGATTAACTTTCCTCATCGTCGGAATACATAAACTGTGTACGGAAGATCAAAGCTTTTAGGATTGGCGCACGGCCAAAACATGCGTCGGACACAGCGTGAATGTTTCACCTGACCAAGTTGACCTCATCGTTGCACCTGGTGCGAACTGTTTGTTTTTTTTGCCGGCAACATCAGTTGGTGTACAGAAGGTCAACGTGAAAGCGTGATGTGGACCATGTTCACCTCAAAGCTGCGAATAGCAACAAGCTGCCCCCGCTGTCGTCACTCACCGGAATAAAGTCTCCATGTCTGGGGCAATTGTGGAAAAATCCGGAGCAGATTCTGAGGTCAAAAGAATTAGGCGTGTGCAACGGTTCGCTGGCTGACAAATATATGTTTCTATATCCCTAATATGTTCTCCAGTTTCTTGCTGTCTTCATGAGTCACTCGATTTCAAGTTCGGAAAATGGAAAAGCCATTAGATAACAAAGTAAAAATCAATACTTGCGGTGAATACTCTCATTTGCACACAAATTCGGCTTTTGGCAAGAGATTTAACTGAATCCACCTGTCGTTATCGATAATCCGCTTCCACTGAATTTGTTGACCAAATGAAAAAGAATCGTTCAGCTGTAGCACACTTTCGGTGCCTAGCTACTATGCCACCCGAGGGAAGCACGAGGGCTGGGATACTGCCAGGTTGCCCAAGCCTAGAAATCGAGAGGCACGGAATTTCCGGTCAGTAAATTCGCGCTCTAACCACTTGGTCCATCTCGCTCCCGACGAGATGAATATGAACCATCAGAAGCGGGAGATTCTGCAGGATTAAGTCGAGTCGCCGGTCAAAACTGAATTCGTGCAAAAATGAGGATATTTGTCAAAATCTGTCCAATTTGGGTTCAAGTGGAACATGAGGTTGACGGAAACTCGGGAACTTCACCTACCTGATGACCCCCAAGAAGGGCGAAACCGGTTTCACACTGTTGAAGAGCTTTTAGCAACCATATGAGTAGTGTATTACGTCTAGACAGTATTTCTGATGTTTGTAAGACTACAAGCTTACCAGTGCACATATCCAGCACTGTTTGGGGCTTATCATCTGAACGTATGAGAAAAGAACGGTGATTAGTGCGAGAAATTACTGACCGGAAGGTCTGCGTTTCGAACCTAACCTTGACATCTCTACTGCTCCTATCTAAGCTTGGAGAACTTAGCAGTACTGCAGACCAAGAGTCCCATTCAGGTGACATGACAGCTAGGCACCAGAAAGAACTTAGCCTGCAGACCAAGAGTCCCATTCAGGTGACATGACAGCTAGGCACCAGAAAAGCGACTCAGCTGAATGATTCTTTATTATCTATCACTTGAAATAGTCTGAAATGGCGCCTCGTCCTTCACCGGAAGGTAAGGGGTCGTATCAGGAAGTTCTCAGTGGAAATTGGGCAGTTTGAGGAAATACGACTGATTTCAACACTAACGAACGCGCCAGAATGAACCAAACTATGTCTTCTGAAATACCCTGTAAACCTTCCACTGCCGCACTGACTTCGAAGCATCCAAGGAAAGTTAATAGATTAGGAGTTTTTAAACTCGGTCACCATGGCAGATGAGACCACTGTGCTTTACTTTGTTCAGAGACCTTCCGCTTATGAGACTCTCCTGTTTTTCTATTGATAGAAGCCGTCTCGAGACCTGATACCTTCGAAGAAGCAGTACAGGGACTAGTTTACCGCCTGTCCACTATGGTCATTTTGTGAATACATCTGGGCGGTTGATCCAACGGTGTTCATGGATCATATTCTCCACCTACTGATCGCTGGTGAGGTCTCGAGAACAACACGCCATGTGCGCACGCTCACGACATCTGTACACTACCACACTATCTGTATTCTGTCCAACTCACAGTTCACAAAGGAACTCCTCACCACCATTTGTATATTATAAGACTTCTAGGAAGCGAATGCACGTGTAACACCAGCTAACGGTGTTTGTAGCCAAACTGTTCTGGGTTTGAATGGCACAACAACAGAGACTTGTTGCGACAGATTGGTCAGTTGGACGAGTATTGGCAAAACCATTCGAGTGCGGTAATACCTTGAGTTTTGCAAGTGTTTGGAATTCAGAGTCACGTTCTTTTACAGATGGTCAACAATGACGTATGGAGATGCAAGAAAACCCTGCGGTGTGTAGCAAGAAAACCTGGTTTGCTTTGCCGGTCAGTGATCATGGAAATCAGGTTGGCTGGAACTGAAGGTCGCACTGACAAGACCAGAAAAAAGGTCGACCCCGCCGGCCGAATACCGCGCAGAAAACCTTTGTAGTGGGTATATGAATGCGAATCACTGGCATCTGGTATTCTCGAAATCGGAAACTTGATGAAGGAAAGGCGAAATTAACTGACATGGTTTTGGGATAAAAAGATCAAACCATAAAAGATGGGGTTCGAAAACCTGTACTCTACTGCAATAGCTCAAAGATATTTTGAAATTTTTGTCACAGAAC